TTTTTTTTTTTTCACTTTTAATTATGCTTAGAGTTCTCTCTTTTTTGTTTCTAGTTAATCTGGCAAGAGACTTGTCAAGTTTGTTTACCTTTTCAGAGAACCAACATTTTGCTTCATTCATCTTCTACATCAGCAGTTCTCAATCTGTGGGTTGAGACCCACAGAAACTGTATTAAAGGGCTACAGTATTAGGAAGGTTGAGAATCACCGTTCTAGATAGTTCTTTTGTTCTCAGTTTCACCTAGTTCTGTTCTGTCCTGCTTATTTCTTCTGCTGAGTCTGGGATTGCTGTGATCTTTCTGTCTCCTGGAGGTTGGCATTTAAGTCTATGAGTTTTCCTCTCAGGACAGCTTTTGTTGTATCCCACAGATTTCGATAACTTGTCCTCGTTGTTGTTTAGTTCAAAGAATCTTTTGGTTTCTATCTTTATTTTCTTATTGACCCAAATATCATTCATGAGTAGGTTATTTAGTTTCCATGACTTTGTGTAAGAATGGGTGTTTCTGTTGTAATTAGTTTCTAGTTTTATTCCACTGTGATCTGAGAAGGTGCGTGGTATAATTTCTACTTAAATTTGTTGACATAAGTTTTGTCTAGGATGTGATCAATCTTAGAGAATGTTCTCTGAGCTCATGAGAACAGCATATATGCCTTGGTTTGGGGGTAGAACATTCAAGAACTGTCTGTTAGATCCATGTGTTCTAGCATTCTAGTTAGGGCCGTCGTTTCTTTGCTTATTTTCTATTTGAAGGACCTGTCCAGTTGTGTCATTCTGTCAGTGGGATGTGAAGTCCCCAGCATTTATGGTGCTGCTAGTTATCATTTTGTTTAGTTTGAATAAAATTTGCTATAAACATCTGAGCACTCCTATGTTGGGTATAAAAATATTTATGATTATTAAGTCTTCTTGTTGAATTATTCCCTTTGCCACTATATAGTGACTTTTTTTTTTAGTTTGCTTACATACATTTTTCCCTATAAACATATGACATACAGTGTTCTTTCTTTGTTCTTCAACTTCTTCCCTAATATCCAGTCATTTCATTTCACCAATTCTCAAATCTGATTCCTCCTATTTGACCTTTCTCGTACTGCTTCAGCTCAGGTCCTCATCATCTCACCTGGACTTCTTTAATTCAATATTCTTGTCTCTCGTCACATTCTTTTTAATTCATCCTCAAGAATATTATGAGCATTATGTGTCAGTGTAGATCTGATCACATCACCTCTCTGTTTAAAATTTCTCTGTGCCTTTCTGTCTTCTATGGCTGGAATGGTTGAACTTTTCCTTATAGGTTCAGATAGTAAATACTTTAGGCTCTTCTGGTCAAAGGTTCCTGCTGCTGATGCTGAACTCCTATTTGTCAGTTAAGCACAAAACCCACCATAGACAATATGTAAACAAATGAAGAGACTGTGAACTTGGTAAAACTTATTTATAAAAGTAGGCTATAGGTCTAAGGCTACAGTTTGTTAATCCCTCTCTGTGATATAAAAGGCTTTCATTTGTCACATTTACCACTCCCCCATTGTGTCCACCATTCAACTACTTAAACTTTCTTGAGTATATCTTCTTTCTAAATCCAATGATTTAATTCTTTTTATTTAAGCTGTGTTTTACAAATAACAAAATATTCTAATACATCACATAAACTGTTAATTCTGAAATGATGGCTTTCATATATTAAAATGGGATTATTTAGTTTATTTATCTAGTTTATTTAATTTATTACTGACATCTTTATAAACGTATATTGAAGTAAAGCCATGAGTGTTAAGAACATTTTAAAATAGATCTTTCATAAAAGTCACAGCCTTGATATAACCCATGTTAGAGTGTGGGCATCATCAATTTCTTATCCAAAAATCTCAGAATGAAGTCACTGGTAGGAAAGTAGTTTAGCTTCAGCATTGTCAACTGTATTAAATCAAGGCTCACGGAAAGAACAATTTCAGGGCAGGTTGTAGGAACTGAAAACATATACATCACATTGTATCCTCTCATCATCACAATTGCTCCTTTCTAATCCAGTTATAAAAGCAGAAAATATTTGGTTTTAGGGTCTGACTGGCCCAAACCATTGGACTTCAAGTTGCTATTTAAATTCCATTAGATCACTTATGTGTTTCATTACCCAATGTGATAGCACAACTTGAGAATATATTGTTAAATGTGTGGGTTTTGCCTTGTTATTACATTTCAGCTGTTTATGTTACTACTTATTGGTACAATGTTGGGTAGTAAACAAAACTTTCTTTAGCAAAAGCATGAAAGAACATCATTCTTTCATCATGTGTGCAAATTGTAAGATATGGATGGATATTAATATTGATCATGATAAAGCTCTACATTTTCTGATATTTGCATAAATATGCATTAATTTAAAATTAAACTGACCTGTAACTCTCAGCTATGGTTGATTTTTAATTTTTTTTTCTTTTTAAGCCACCAGCTGAACAGGCCAAAGCCAGACTACAGCTCGTTCTTGAAGCTGCTGGTAAGTGTTAACAATTAACTTTTAGTAACTGAAAAAGGGACAAATACATCCTAGGGTGTTAGCATGCTTACAGATAAATCAAAGAGAAAACTTCTTTCTCCGTATGTCCTCACAAATACATGAGATATAAATTATATATATATATATGTCTTTATATTATCTGAAATATATATTGCTATGGTAAATTGATAAATGCTAAAAACTTACCTTTTCATTTGTAACATTTGCTATAATTTTAATTTTTCATTTTGATGAAGTTCAATTTATTATTTTTCTCTTCTGTGCGCTGTGCTCTTGGGGGCAGGTATAAGAATTCTTTGTCTGAAACTTTTATGGTGTTACCTTTTACATTTAAGACTATGATCCATTTTGATTTAATTTTTCTATAATGTTGAGGTTGAGATTTTCATTGTTCTATAGGAAATTATGTCAGTATCGTTTAATAATCCCTTCAATTACATTGAACTAACTCCTTGCACTGTGTGTTCTGGGTATCATCTAAACTGAAAATGCTACATGTTGGGCTGCTCAGTGGGTAGGGCACCAGCCCCATATACTGAGGATGGCAGGTTCAAACCCAGCCCTGGCCAAACTGCAACAAAAAAATAGCCAGGTGTCATGGCAGGCACTTGTAGTCTCAGCTACTCAGGAGGCTGAGGCAAGAGAATCGCCTAAGCCCAGGAGTTGGAGGTTGCCGTTAGCAGTGTGACGCCATAGCACTCTACCAAGGGCAATAAAGTGAAACTCTGTCTCTATAAAACAAAAAACAAAAAAAACTGCTACATATTTTATTTCTCTATGATACAGTAATACTATGTACTTTAGATTTCATGCCCAGTTTCATATAAACATTAAATATTTTACCTTTTAAAAAAGTATAAGATCCATGTTATATTTTACTTTGAATCTTCAAAAATGTATGTAACTTAGCCAGGCTTTGTGGCAGGTGCCTGTAGTCCCAGCTACTTGGGAGGCGGAGGCAAAAGAATTGGTTAAGCCCAAGAGTTTGAGGTTGCTGTGAGCTGTGACACTCTACCCAGGGTGATAGAGTGAGACTCCATCTCAAAATAAAAATAAAAAAAAAAGCATGTAACTTATTCAAATAATAAGTTGCCAAAAGTAGTACAGTAGTGTCCCCTCCTATACAATAGGTGTATATCTTCCAAGGCCCCCAGTGGTACATGAAACCATGATGGTACTGAACCACATATATCCACTGTGCATTTTCCTACACATAAATGCCTATGATAAATTTTTATTTATTAGTTAGGTACAGTAAGAAATTAATAGCAGCAAAAATAAAATAGAACAGTTTTAACCTTTAACAAAAGTTATGTGAATGTATGCTCTCTCTCTCTGTTTCACAATATCTTGTGCTATATTCAACTAAGTTTGGACTATGTTAGACCATAGGTAACTGAAACCAAAGCAAGTGAAACTGCAGATGAGTGGGGACTACTGTACATATTTCTTAAAATTGTTTATTTTTTCAAGTGTCCACAGTCTAAAGACCGGAAACATCCATGTGAACTATCTACTAATTTCCTGAATTTATTAATAGAAGTAGTTAACTATATAGCTATAAAAATGTTCTAATTTTGAACTGAGTCTCTTTACCTTCCATATTACTTTAAAAATCACTCTATTTTTTGTATTTGTTTTATTCATTTTCACTTTTATTATACAGAGAAGATGATTATTTTCTAAATTTTGTTTCCTAGTATGTTTTTCATATTTGACTTTCAAATAAATGCTATGGGATAAGCTAATTAATATGATTTTTCTGTCACTTATATAAAATGCATTCCTTCTTCAGTGGTATTTAGCTTTGAAAGAGTATGTCCAATTCCTAATTTGGATATTGACAGACTTTTGCTTTAATGGAAAACACTTATGTTGCATGCCTCAGAAAATATATTGTGGGATCCTTTGGTATGTAGCTGTGTGGTTAATTTTATTGACAAATCACCGAAGTGTTTTCCATAGCAGCTGAACCATTTTACAGTTCCCTATTGTCTTAAGTAGACATAACACACATTTAATTTACCTGTTTGAAAATATTTAGGTTTGGGGACTTCTCTGTGTCATAATTTCCTCATCTGTAAAAGGGAAAGATAATAAATATCTAGTTGTGAAAATAAATAAGATAATGCATGAAGTACCTCCCCCAGAGCCTGACAGGTGGTAGCTACCAGGAACTTTTTGTTTCTGTCTCGCTCTTTGTGAATACCACTGCAAGGTGATTCTTTCTCAGGTGCTATATGATAAGGCCACTTCTTTGCTTAAAATTATTGAGTGGCTCTCAGTTGCTTACAAAATCAGTTACATACTTCTTTGCTTAAGATTCTAAGGTTCTGTACAGTACATCCGCACTCTTTTCTAACTTTTATTTTCTAGAATTTATTACTATTTTTCTCATTGTTCTTTGGGTTTCTACCTGGGAATCTTCATTTATGGTTTTCTGTTCTGTAAATGTCTTTCCTTCCTTTCCCCTCTCCAGCACTTAAAGACCCATTCAAAATAAGATTTCCATACTATTTTCCTGACCATTCCAGCATATAATCTTTCTCCTTCCTTTGAGTTCTTTTAGTCTTTGTGCCACATTGTTTGTGCCGATATTTACTCATACAGCAATGATACTACTGTTTAATTATTTCATAAATGTTAGACTTGTTTTTCCAATGACATAAACTTCTGAAGGCTATTAATCATATTTAAAACTTCTGTATCTTTTCCAACAGTTTTAACAGTACATAGAATCATACCGTACCACATAAAATTTCAGCTGTTAGTCTTTGGTTAACTAGTAATTGTGGAGAAAAAATGATATAGATGTTAATTAAAATTAAACCTTCAAATGCCAATGTGCTCATTTTAATTACTGTATATTTATAATAAATATACTAAGAGGTTCCCTGATTTCAAATGCAGAAATACATGACTTTTAAATGTAAACTTCAAAGTAGTCTTTGACAGAAGAGAAAGGAAACTTGGTTACACATAGGAGTAGGAGGAAAGATAATAAGTTTAGTTAAGGACTTGTCTCCATCATTTCTGCTCTTACTGTTGTTGGACTTGATGGCACCATTCCAAACACTATCTGGGTACTCCACAAAAGCACAGTATTATCTTATGCCACCTATGTTTGCTCATGGGTCTGAAAGGTGTTGAAGGAGAGATTTTTCCAAAACCTAAATATTTTTTATCAGCAGAGAAGACAACAGCTCTCACTCAATTTTCAAGGCATAATTTAATATTTTACTTTCTAATAGAATTATTAACACACACATAGCCTTTAGAATTATATTTCTAATGATACGGGAAATGGCATATATGTGGTTAAAAAAACTTATTATAAAATCTTTGTGTAATAATTATTCCATTTCCTGAATAATACCTATGACTCTTTGTATTGTGCCATATACTTTTGAAATCATTTTGTAAATCTTTAGACTCATATCACTGCATGGAAAGCTAATTAATTCCATTTTGCATATGTCCTGAAAACTTATATGACTTGTGAAAACTTGTTTAGTTAATAAGAGGCAGAACCAGAACTCAACTCCAGTGGCTTATGACTCTTGGGCTATTTCTGTCTGTGGGTTAAATACCTCAATTATGTTGGATAGAAAGAGGGGTGGTAGAAAATATTACCAGACACATACCTTATTCTGTTAGGTTTTGTTCTACAATTACCTTTCAATAAAATAATTTCTATCCTCAAGCCTTCTGAAGGAAGTTTTTTGGTTACACAAAAGGATTAATCTTTCATTCAGGAAAAAGTGGGGTTTTTTTCTTCTTAACTACATAGAGTGTTCACAGTAGCTAAATGTATAACTTTGAAAAATCTTGGGTAATGTTTTATGATCACCAATATTGTATTCTTAAACCTAGTTCTGGACATGCATTTCAGTGAGTTTTCTTGGGTTAGAAGCTAGTTAAGTGCTGTAAAACACAGATTCGTTATTCATGCAAATGCTCTATGTCCAGGGGTTGGCTTTGCTTAGGAATACTCCATATTTCACCCTATCCCAACTCTTCTGCAGCGGGTTAAACTGAGATTTTATTCACTTCATGCCCATTAAGTAGCTTGAAGCCAAGTCCTGACCCTTTCTCTTCATAGCCATGTGGTCTTAGAAGTCACAGCACTCCTCTAAAGTTCATTCTAGAATTACAAATGAGATTGCCTTGATAAAGTTGTACTGTTTCCGGGGAGCATAGAAACCTACCCTGCCCCTGATTTAAAGCTGACAGAGGTTTTGTCTATAGGTTTCTGACCACTCGTCCTGTGGCTCTGTGAAACAAGCAGATTAATTGTGAGAAAGGCTTTCATTAGAGCAAACCTCAAAAAAGAGCTAGAGATTGAAGAGTGAATTTCTACCTCCTAACTAAACAGTTTTTAAACTTTTTTTCCCCAAGTGGACTTCTGCTTAATTGCATATTGGTAGTGTAGATTTATATCCAGTTTCACTAACAAATTTTGTGAGTTCAAGCAGATCATTTCTTCATTACTGCTTTTTGTTTCCCTAATCTGTAAAATGGAGATATTAATAAATAGTAAATAACTATATAGTACATGGCTGTTTTGGAGTTTAAATAAGTTGACATTTGTTAAACACTTGGCACAATACCTGATCCAGTTCAGTACATGTTAGCAATTAGTTTGAACAGCGAAGTTCTCAAGTCAAGTTGTCTGGGTGCCATTTCTAGCTCCTGGGTTTACTGATGAAACCACAGGGAAGCCTACTGAACTTCAGTTTTTGATTTACAAAGTGGGAATAATAATAGTAATAATAAGTACCTTAGAGAGAGTTTATGAAAACTAAATAAATTAATAAAATCTCTAGAACAGCACCTAGCCCTAAACGGAGCACTCTGTAAATGCCAGCTGGCAGGAGTAGTGTTTCATGGTATCACCAGGGTGGCTTTATAAGATAATTAAAGAAGAAAAGTTGAGTCTCTTATTACCAGCATGCTTATTCTGTTAAAAGACATTGTCA